CTTTCCCTAATTAAAGTAACTTGAATGAGAAATTTGAAAATACTATGACAGAACTGTTATCTTTTAAAAAATACATATTGCTAAGATTTTCACTCACTCCCTCAAAATAAAACTGGTAATTAGTGTATGTAGGCTTTTGCTCCTTGAAATGAAATGATTAGTTTCTTATGTGATCTGCATAGGCTCTACCCACACCAAGCACTAACATTTTAGCTCTTTGACAAGGATATGGAAAGAAATGAAAAATTTAGTCAATCGATGACTGTTTGATTCTGCATAGGCAAACAGCCAGGAGATTGATGAAATTTTTCCAGTTTTTAATTCACTATGAGTAAGGCACTGTACCATTAAAAGAACTTGAATGATTTAATTTTCTGAAATTTTTACTGCTTTCACACAGCAAACATCATACCAAATAAGCAACTCAAATCCCCAATACATTCTGCCACTAGTTCTGATTTAAAAGATTAACATGAAATATATTCTAAGTCAAGCCTGCTAATATCATTTTTCAAGACAGAGGGAGATTAAAGAAATTAAAGGATATATAACAAGTTTCAGATATTTAAATTATCAACAATCATAGTCTAGTCTCGGGCATAGGAAAAGAACACAAAGTCTTCTCTCCTACTCTCTCCTCTAACTGGGAAGATATTTACGTAGGGAATAAAAAGGTGTGTCTCTGAGCTTTTATGAATGTTTATGAATCTACCCAGAAACAATTCAATAACTTTGTCACTTTTCTTCACAAAGTGTGATAAATATCAGTCTCCCTTAGGTATGTAAAGTCATCTGTAAAGATAAAAATCATTAGCAAAGAGCAAAAGTCCTATAAATATTGTAGGACAGAAAGATAAGAAATTGAGATAAATCTTCTGAATACCAGGATTGTACCTTTTTTTTTTTAAGATTTTTCTAAAAACCATATGAGGGCTTCCCTGGTGGCGCAGTGGTTAAGAATCCGCCTGCCAATGCAGATGGCACAGGTTCGAGCCCTGGTCCAGGAAGATCCCACATGCTGCAGAGCAACTAAGCCCGTGCGCCACAACTACTGAGACTGTGCTCTAGAGCCCGCAAGCCACAACTACTGGGCCCACGTGCCACAACTACTGAAGCCCACATGCCTAGAGCCTGTGCTCCGCAACAAGAGAAGCCACCACAATGAGAAGCCCGCGCACAGCAACAAAGACCCAACGCAGCCATAAATAAACAAATAAATAAATATTAAAAAAATTAAAACCACATGAGTTCTGCCTCTCTCCTTCAGTAAAATTATATGGATTAAGGATACAATTTGTTATCAGAAACATTATTACCAAAAATAGGGAGCACAAGTAGTAAATACCTCAGTTGTGACAATAAAGAGAGTTTAAATTAAAAACTATTGTAATAATTAGTGTCAAATGTACAAGGAAATAAGTAATATCCAACTGAGAGGTTCAGTCAGAGGAAAGCATAAAGGTGAGAGAAAGAAGCACAGGCTGTTCTCAGGGAGAAAAGGAGGGAGCACCAGCTGAAACTGAGTTAGTGGCCAATGGAGAGGGAAAGGGGAGAAGGTAGATCCTGGAAAAACAGAGCACCTGTTTCTCTGTTTACACCAGCTCCCTGAGAAAAGCCATAATCAGGTCAGGGGCAACTTTTCTTCCCCAGGGAAGCAGACACCTATGAAAAGGAACCTCTAGACAATTTCCTTTCTGATCCTACCTTACATATAAGGCTCTCTATGGTCTAGAAGCTCCTGAAAACCCTGATGACAACAGAGTCTAACACTACTGTTGAAGCATCCAAGTGGGTGAAGACAGTCCTCCACTCCCACCCACACCCTGAGAAAATTAGAGTCCAAACACATAGTTTAAAATCCACAGTTCTGTGATTAAATCTGATGACCACTTGTTGCTACTTCTCTTAAACTTCTAATTGTATTACATCTTGTACTACTCTAATCTATGTGTGCCTTGTACATGTTTATCAGTTCATGTTATTTCCTGCTTAAAGCCCTCCAATAACTTCCCATTGTACCTAAAATAAAATTCAGATTTCATACCCTGGCTTACATCACCTGGCCGTCTATCTCTGTCTTCATCTCATACCACTCTCTACCTCACCCTCTGTGCTCCAGCTACACCAGTCTTTCAGTTTCTCAGACACATCAAGTTTGTCCTTGCTCTAGAGCCTTTGCGCAGGCTCAGCTTATAATGCTCTAAGTCCTATGCGTTCACGGCTGGCTCCTTCTAGTCATTAAGAGTTCAGCTTAAATGTCACCCCACAGAGAGCTCTTCCCTAAAGTCACCACCTCAACTACTGACTCCGTCACAATACATTTCTCTACTTCAGTTCTCTGCATAATAATTGTCACCATTTGATAGGTCTTTGTTTATATATGCATTTATTTAATTTTCTGTCTCAATCTATTAGATGTATTTCCATAAAAGAACAGGTATTTCATCTGTTTTGTTCATGGCAGTTAGGATAAATCTGTTCCAAATGTCAAGACAAAACTACAGATGTTTTCATATTATTAATTTCATATGGTGCAAGCTAATATATTTCCAGCACCTACAACACTACTTGACACATAGCAGGCACTAATAAAAATTATTGGAATGAATGAATATCACAGAAATCTGTGTACATGTTTATTTCCATTAGGGTAGGGCAGTTACCTCACACAGATTAGGTACATTTTGACTCTATTAATGAAATGATTAAGTAGAGCAAAGAAAATGATTCAAATAAAATTATAAAAGTAAAATGTCCAAATAAAATTAAATTCTAAATTAGCATACTCAAAATTTGTTAAATTACATTTTTATAGCCCTTTTACTTTAAAAATGGAAACTTTATAAAGGCCAATGTGTCCAAAATTTGCAACTTAAAAATACATATTCAATAAAAACAAGTCCAAAGCAATTACCTTTCTCAGATTATATTCATTCATAAATAGTCACTTGTGTATCTCCTTAGCATTCAGGCACTGAGCTAGAACAGTTTTATTTCCATAGACTAATGATCACCGTATAATATGATTTTAAATATTACGTGCAAAAACAAGGTGAGAAAATTATTTGTTTACCTGTTTTAATATGAAGGGGAGGAAGAACATTCACATTGTGAGGTGGCAAAATGCAAAGCAGCTGACTGGTGAAATAGGCAGCCATGAAGCGAGCCATGGACTGGATAACCCTCACCGCCGCTTCAGGATGAACATTTCCAGTCACTCCAAACTCACAATGAGACTTCTCAGGAACTGCAGGATACACCACATGACCAAAGGAGATTCTGATCAAACTATCAAAAGTAGTAATATTTAAGTTCCCAACATTATGCAAGAAGAAAATTATAATTACAACTTTTTTCTGAGATGAACACCCATGGCCTACACAAGTTAATTTATAATAGCTATCTACACTTCTTGAAGACAATAGAACAAAAATAATTAGCTCATAATTATGAGCACATACACTGAGGAACTCTTTTAACCTCAAGCTACTAGTTTTATCTAAAAACATGGAAGGATCTATACAAATAATCCAGCTATAATGGACTTGCAAGTTTAGCATTTCATTATTTATTTTCCCTTCGTTCTTCCCTTTCTAATTTTCTTTCTTTAATGAAAGGAGGCAGGGTTTACTACAAAGATAATCTGAAAAGCACCAGAGCAGTGATTCTTCATGCTTTTTTCTGTACCATTAGGTCTGGATATTATGATATACTTCCATTAGTAAGAGTAAGTCCTTACCATAAGATTCTTCTGGGAGGTATGGACAAAAGGAACACGTGGAGTGGAGGGAGAAGGCAGGGGAGGGAGAGAGTTACATCACTATTTCTAGGGTGATTCTGATATAAACTAGTAGGAGCAAACATGTGCCATCCCTATTTGAAAATCAAAACTCAATAATATAAATTGGCATTCAGATATATGAAAATAAAACACAGATAAATACTAAGTTAACATTAATTTTTATAAAATGTATGGCCCCAACAATGGCAAAGTATCTTTCTTTCTCAGAAGTCACTTGGGAGAATTCCCTGGTGGGCCAATGGTTAGGACTCCATGCTTCCACTGCAGGGGTCCTGGGTTTGATCCCTGGTTGTGAGAACTAAGATCCCACAAGCCACGTGGCACAGCCAAAAAAAAAAGAAAAAGAAAAAAAGAAAGGAAGTCACTTGGTAGGTATTCACAATAATATTAAGTTCTATATGTGTATGGCCATTTCTATCTTGTCACTTCTTGGCAGCTTGTGCCTGGTTTCCTCCAGACTTCACCCCATGCTCCTTTTCCCTTTGCTGATTTTGCTTTGTATCCTTTCATTGTAATGAATCATAGGTGTGAGTACAACTATATACTAGGTCCTGTGAGTCCTCCCTGTGAATCCCTGAACGTGGGGGTAGTCTTGGGGACTCCTGACCCAGCAGGGATATGATTAATATACTCTAAACAATTGTCATTAAAAATTAAAACAAATACATTACAATAGGTTCAACTTATCTTGAAATTTATTATCATGTCATGACAATACTACTGAAAAAAAAAAAAAAAGAGTATCAGTCAGTTAAAAAGTCACACATAAAAAAAAAAAAAAAAGTCACACATAAAAGTCTTCCACTCATACACAGCTACCAGTCCTTTTGGAGGGCAATTTGCAACCAGGCATCATAAGTCTTAAAACCATGGATTCTCTTTGATCCTGTAACCTCATTTCTCAAAATTTAACCTAGAGATATTATTAGTAATGTTCACAAAAATTTATGTACACTACAGCATTATTTAAAATATCAATAGTAAATAGGTGGCACCAATCTAAAATGTGCAATAATGAGGAAAAAGAATATTATTTACATTGGAAAATATTCATCATAATATTAAGTTTAAAAGATTATAAAACAGAATATACATATATAAATGTATATAGACAAAAAATGGTAGAGTGATTTTATTTTCTTCTTTAAACCTTTTTCCATATTTCAAAATTGTCTAAAATGAACTTGTACTACTTCTGTAATGAACACAAAAATTTAAAAAGACAAATATCACCAAAAGTAAGAAATCTATAAACAGTGGCTGCATATGACATCACTTATATGTGGAATCTAAAAAGATGATACAAATGAACTTATTTAGAAAACAGAAACAGACTCACAGACATCAAAAACAAACTTATGGTTACCAAAGGGGAAAAGTGAGGGGGAGGGATAAATTAGGAGGTTGGGATTAACAGATACACACTACTATATAAAAACTAGGTAATCAAGAAGGACCTACTGCATAGCTCAGGGACCTCTACTCAGTATTCTGTAATAACCTACATGGGAAAAGAATCTGAAAAAAAATGGATATACGTATAACTGAACCACTTTGCTATATACCTGAAACTAACACAACATTGTAAATCAGCTATACCCCAGTATAAAATAAAAATTAAATTTAAAAAAATGCAGAGAAAATATGAATACCAGAATAAAAATGTCATGGTATTCTACCATCTATCTCACCTCAAAAAAAACAAAACAAGGGGCTTCCCTGGTGGCGCAGTGGTTGGGAATCCGCCTACCAACGCAGGGGACACGGGTTCGTGCCCCGGTCCGGGAAGATCCCACATGCCGCGGAGCGGCTGGGCCCGTGAGCCATGGCCACCGAGCCTGCACATCCGGAGCCTGTGCTCCGCAACGGGAGAGGCCACAACAGTGGGAGGCCTGCGCACCACAAAAACAACAACAACAACAACAAAAAAAAAACAGTGGCTGAAGCCAAAGAAACCAACACTGTTCTGATAAACTAGTGAAAATCAAAGAAAGGGTTTTACGTAAGAGATGGGCCCCACTTCTCAAACTATTTTTAGAAGCCTTTGTAAACTAACTTCTTTTGATCACTATTTTCCATCAGTAAAATGATGTTCTAAACCAATAATCAGTTATTAGAAAAAAACCAAAACAAACGAACTCCATTAGAGTCATGAACTCCATTTAGAAAGTTCTGATATATTGAGCCGTTCTGACACATTCATACGCATAGTATACATCTAACGGTCTACAACTGTATAACCATTATAACTATATTATGTGTTCATTCATATATATCTTTTACTCTGGTTACTGCTTAATTTAAATACACCTCTTTTTAAAAGGACAATCCAAATATTCTGCAGCCTAGTAAGCAATTTTAAAAAGACTCAGAATACCTCAGAAAGTGATTTTCATCACTTTACTAAACAACCTTAAGCAACCATTAAAGAAAATATAAACATATCAAGGAAAAGTACTTGGGTACCTGATATTATGTCTAACAAGCAGGCAATTACTGCTAAGCCTAGAGACACAAAGATTAAAAACAAACAAAAACATGATCCTTGCTACTGAGAAGCTGACAGTCCAAAATTTACCACAATAGGGCAGAGCAACCAACTTTTATGTATAAGCAATTTCATATCTACACTTATAAATACAAAGTACTAACATTAAACAAACTGATTTATGAAAAGCATACCTGAACAATCTTCATCTTCTTTTACAGGTAGGTGGGACCATATCAGTATTTCTCTTACTAGCTGATCACATAATCCTTGAGCATCATTTAAATTATAGTTATAGAGGTGGCAGTACAAAAGGGAAAGATAATAGCGTATCTGAAGAAAACATATCCTTCTTCCTCCTTAAACAGGGAAGAATTGCACTTACATTAAAAACATGTTAGGTAGGTAATGTTCTTGATCTGGGTGCTGGGTAGACAGGAATGTTCAGTTTATAAAAATTCATCAAGCTGTACATTCATGTTATGTGAACTTTTCTGTACCTGTTTTATACTTTAATAAAAAACAGGTAAGCAATATTTTGTTCTTTTTCATTTTAAGTTCTGAACAATTTTATTTTCTTTAATCAGGCCCTAGGATGACTAAGAATTTATCCAAAGAGAGGCGCACATCCTCCTTATCTCATTACTAAGGTCCACTAACGACATCTATCTCAAGTACACATGGTATAAAACAGAAGGGAACATGCTAAAAATAAAAATTTTTTAAAAACCACACAAGAAATCATACAAATATCAAACAGACAGTCAAAGAGTCTTTCCAAAGGAGAAGAAACACTATCCAATAAGATAGGAGCCTCTGACCACTGCCTTCAAACATCTGAAGGGTGCTTAGGACTGAGACTGCTGGCTGCTTACTCCTTATCTATTCTTTCTGAGTAAAAGAATTGTAATTTTATTTGAGGTTACAATGCACCCAGATCACAGTTTCTTGCTAGATGTGGCCATGTGAAAATATGACAAGTTCTGAACCAAGAGATAATATTGTACAGAACTGCTAGAAAAGCTGCTTAAAGAGAGGTAACTCACCCTTTCTTGCCCTTCCTGCCTTCCTCCTTTCTGTTAACTAGATTATGTACATGATGCCTGAGACTTCAGCACCCATCTTAACTCATGTAATGGCCTTAAGACTGGAAGCAACGCACTAAGGACGACGGTGTAGAAAAACTAAAGGAGCATGAGTCCTTGATGAGACCACAGAAACACCGAATCAGCCCCAGACTATCAACTTCTGGCCTCATTTCCTGAGAAAGAGAAATAAACTTCTTTCTTGTTGAAGCCAGTTATTTTCAGTCTCCATTACAAGAAACCATACCAAACGGATACAGTTGGAAATGAAATTAAATGAAAAGGTCTACAATGAGACTCACTATGAAAACTTTTCTTCATGAGAACTTATCACCTTGAATGTCACTCTTCTTCATCCAGTTGGACAATCCCCAAATCTGAGAGCTACATTAGACTTCTTTCTCGATTCAAGTCCAATTGATCAAACCTCTTAAATATCTGACAAATGTGACTTCTGTCCTCCAGTACTCTTGACGTTGCTTTCTTTGGTTCAGGACCTCCTCAACTAACTGTCTTGCTTCTAGGTAAAACCCACATCTCTACACCACATTCCTACAAATGGCCCTCCATAATGTACTAAAGTGATCTTTCCAAATGGCCTATATTTATTTGAAAAGTTCTCTTTCTTACATAAAGTATCTTAACTGACCCCACTGTCTTCAGGATAAAATCTTAATCCCATGGCACTGCAGAATATCTTCCTTTATCATCTGTTCTCTACCTCTTACTTTAGCACTCACCACCCTATCCTCAATATTACACACATATTTCAAATAATCTGGCCCTGTTAAAACTACCTGCAGTTTACCAAACTGCCATGGTTTCCTATGCCTTTTTGCTTTAGGAATGCTATATCCTTTGTTAAACCATTCCCACTCCTTCAATTGGACAATTTTCACTCAATTTTAAATATCAGCTCCTCCAGGTTTTCCCCAGACTGATGTTTGCACTCCAGCTCAGAGTGTGTGCTTTCCTGGCACCTACCATAAGACATAATTAGAAACATGCTAGTTGTTTATGTGATCTCTCCTCCAGATTGTGGGCAACTTTAGGGTAAACTTGTTTATTTCAGTTATTCCTATTGCCTAATACACATAGTAGGCCCTCAATAAATACCGGTTAAGTAGATAAATTAATGAAACATACAAAGCCACATCAGTCAGAAAATAAATTTAATAATTGGCCAAACCTGACCAGGTAGTAGTTGCAGTCAAGGATAGCTCCAAGGTCACTAGCTGAGAACCTCTGTCATCTTACTCATACCCTCAGCCCTGTATCATAAAAGCTATCACCAGTTTCTAGAATCCACACCCCTAGATTCTCATCAAAAACTCCATGTAGGAGACCTTCCCTGTTGGTCCAGTGGTTAAGAAACCACCTTCCAATGCAGCGGACACAGGTTCAATCCCTGGTCAGGGAACTAAGATCCCACACGTCACACGGCGACTAAGCCTGCACACCGCAAGTTCTGAGCCTGCGAAACGCAACTACTGAGCCCGCGAAACGCAACTACTGAGCCCATATGCTCCAGAGCCTGAGTGCCACAGCTAGAGAGAAGCCCGTGTGCTGCAATGAAGATCCTGCATGCCGCAACCAAAACCCAATGCAGCCAAATAAATAAATATAAAGAAAAAAAAACTCCATGTAGCCCATAATAAGTCTAACTCACAGGAAATTCTTGTTTTTTTAAATTTTTTAATCTTATTTTATTTTTGGCTGTGTTGGGTCTTGGTTGCTGCGCACGGGCTTTCTCTAGTTGCAGTGAGCGGGGGCTGCTCCTCATTGCAGTACATGGGCTTCTCTTTGTTGCAGAGAATGGGCTCTAGGGGTGCAGGCTTCCATAGTTGTAGTGCGCAGGCTTGGTAGTTGTGGCACACGGGTCCAGTTGCCCCATGGCATGTGGGATCTTCCGGGACCAGGGCTCGAACCCATGTCCCCTGCGTTGGCAGGCGGATTCTTAACCACTGCGCTACCAGGGAGGTCCCAAAGAAAATTCTTAAAGTTGAATTACTTAAGGGCAGAGAGCCTTAGCTCCATGTTTCTGTAAGTCTGTAAAAGGTAACAAATTATCTGACCCATAGTTTCTTGTTTAGATACTTGCAGTCCACTAAATGACAAAATATATTTTTTTTAAATTTGGGATTAAGTCTCATCTTTTTTCCCTATCAACAATCAATCACAGGTTCCATCACTAACCAAAAAAAGGACAGAGGAGCCTTATCTATGGATAACAGAAAAAATTCTTAGTGCTACAATTTCCAAGACTAAGAATAATTTTAAATAACTATTTCTGACAGTAAAGGTACCTACAATATGTATTCTATTTGAGCATTAAGAAACTGTGAGCACTCAGAAATCTGAAATAATTTTTTAGCTCAACAGCATGCTAAAATATGGTCCTACTAATATTACAGCAAATATTATTTTTTAACACTCCCCTACCTTTCTCTTGGGTTTCTTGAAGAGCTTTCTTCCATAGTTGAACAGACTTTTCATATGATCCTAATAGGAAACACTCTTCCCCTAAAAAGTTTTTAACCAAAAATTAGTGCTGGTTAATTAAAGTCCTTTATAAACATGTACTTACTTTAAAATTTAGTGGATACAGCTCCACCAGAAATTATTTTGAAAAGCAAATAACTGCAACCTATTAATAAAATCAAAGTCCAACTAACTATATCACTTATTCCTGGAGTTAGAAATTGTTTATAAGATACTGACCATTGATAGATTTAAGTTCTACTGTCTGGTTCAAGAGAACTCCAGCAGTCTGCAATTTAGCCTGTATATGACATAACAGGGACTTGACAGTAGATGCTTCATGTGTCATCTTTTCAGTTAACTGTATGTCATCTTCAGGAACTCTTTGACTTAATTGTGTTTGATACCATAAAGTTTTTCTGTACAATACTCTCCAGAGAACAATCAATCTGCACACAAAATTAGGTAATCATAAGAATCAAATTTCAGACTAGGGATAAGAATGAGTATAGCCTCCTCATTAGCCTTTTTATTTCTGCCTGTATTCTTCACTGAGGTAATAACATGTATACAAACTGATCAGATTTAAATATAGCACAAAGTCCACTGATCGAAAAATGCATATTTTTAAAACCTTCATAAATGCTTTATGTACCTGTAGTCATGTTTCTATAGTGCTTATCTAAACCAAAATCCTTCAACAGTATAATGGATGCCCAAGACTAATAAAATATATGCGTTGAATAATATTTGGCATAAATCCTATAACATAAAATCTATAATGCTGAGTGCTAATGGGTACAAGGTTTCTTTTGAGGTTGATACAAATATTCTGGAATTTGTGCTAATAGTTCTACAAGCCTGTGACTATACTAAAGATCACTGAATTGTACACTTTAAAATGGACAATTTTACAGTATGGGAATTATATCTCGATTCTGAGAAAGCTATAAAGCTGACGGTCTCCTAATATTAAAGTCATTATACCTGTGTCCTGGCTGTTGAACAAAATTTAATACTTGAGGACGAATCCTGAAAGACGAATTCCAAGACCAGTTTTTCTGAGCACCACTATCTTGAAACATTTGAAAAATGGGTACCACCAATGAGTCTTGCTTTGCTGTTCTACTTCCATCAGTTGATGCTGAAATAACTTCTGGTTGAAGACTGTATACGCCATTTAAATGATCAGCTACCATTCTGAGTAAATGAAAACAGGCTAAAAGCTTCTTTGAGAATAACTGATTCTGTTGTTGCTGTGTCAGCAAAAGCTTTATAGTATTTGAGGTCAGCTTTACCAAATGTCCTACATTTTGTCTGTATCTCATATCCCAGTACTGGATTGATAAACACTGATGAAAAAGTTGAAATATACAAACTACCCATGCATTATGTCTTGGGCTCTTGCTTAAAAAAAGATCAAGTGTGGGGAAAGGACATTTTATAAATTGAAGAATGTACAAAAAATGAGTGATACAAACTACTGTGTAATTTAACATTAAATTTTTTTCTGTCACATTTTTTGAAATTCCTATAGTCCATGCTGCAAGGAGATTTTTCTGGACAGAATGCAGTTCTGTAACAGTTTTATCTGTCTCCTCAGTATTATCTTTTGCATGTATGGTATCAAACATAGAAGCAAATTCCAATCTTCCTTCTTTGGCACTACTAAACAATAGATCATTCTTTTGGTTCCAAAAAGAAAATAAGTTGTTTGTAAAATGTTCGCCTTCATTAGTTTCTTCGGCTTCAAAATCCTAAAACATGAGTGAAAAAAATTATACTTAATATCATTTGATTCCTTACAAGTAGAATCACTTTAGGGCTCTCAAATTTCTCTTCCCTTTAATGAAAGAAAAAGAAAATATGTTTCTTGGAATAAAGTCAATACATAACTGTTCAAAGTAAATAAAACATTGTTACTAAGTACCTGCAAATCTGCTGTTTTTTCATTTAACTTCATTGTTTCTTCTGCCTGCAAGAATCTGGGAACAGTAGAATCAGCTAACTTTTCATTTCCGTGGTGTTTTAACAAGCTAGATCTTAGGGAATCCAGTGATTGCAAGTTCAGCCCTCGGCCTTTTGGCTATAGAAGAAAAAAGATTTCCAGAGCAAAATTTTATCGATAATTGTACTACAAACAATTAAAACATCTATAGATAACTGTATACAATCCAAGGCAGTACAGTTTTAAATTTGAAAGGACCAAGAAGTCAACTTTTACTAATGGTACCAAAAAGCACTATACCTTAGACAATATCAAACTTTGGTATGTTTTCTCAAGCCTCTGTGTTGAATCAAGTAGAAGGGATCTCATGAGCACTGTTGGAGACAGATTATCAAGAAATCGAAGGGTTGTGACCATGTATCCATCAGAAATAATGAGGTAGGGTAACCGTGAATGTGCTTTTATAGAAAATCTCTGTCTCATAGGGTCACTATCAGAAGCTGATGAATCTACAGAATTATCTGAATCTTGAAGTGTAAACTGCTGTGGTCTAGCAAACAAACACCAAAATTCAAGAATTAGTAAAAGAAAAATCTTAAAGGAAACAATTATGTTATTCCAAAGAAAAAACAAAACAATTAAAAGTTCCGGAATGATGAAAAAGCAAGCAAATTAAATGCAAAAATATTAAATGTGCATACATCTGTGAGGAAAACATAAGTGATCAAATAATACAGAGGTTTATGTGTTTTTTTAAAATTTTCCCAGCGTTGTGGCACTTACTCTGTCTTGTTTTTAATCTAGTTTTATACAACCTTTCCGGAAAATAAGTGAGGCAGTTCATTTTTACTATTAAAGAGTTAGTTACCTTTCCTTCTTACTATCTATTTAAATATACCTATAAGAATATAATTAGGAACTATGAGTATATTTGTTATTAAGCAAGAGAAAGAAAAGAAACAGGACATTTGGAGAGGATGGTGATAAGTATAATTTTATCAGCTTAAGATTAAATCTACCTGAGTTTCCACATAAGTGTAGTTATTTATTGTTATGGTGGTGTACCTCATTCTGATTACTTAATATCACTGATTATTAACTTTGGAGCTTTATAAATATAAAGAGAATAATGAAAATATAATTTTTTTCTGGTTAGGAAACAAATCAAATATAGATTTTATTAGCCAAATGATCCACAATAGAAGATTGGTCTCAGAATGTACATGCTGCGAAATTTATAAAACCATTAAAAAGTGACTCCATGGAAAGATGTATGACATACTGTTACATCAAAAAAGCAAAATAGTAAACAACATATATAATTTATTTTGCTTTAAAAAAAACTAATATTGTTATAAATGTTATATAAAATTTTTAAATTTAGAGGACAACACACTAAAATGCTAATAATTGTTATCTCTAAGGAATAGGATTACAAGTCTCACTTTCTACATTATTTAGTTTTGTAACATTTAAGTTTTTTTAAAACAATGAATATGTATTACTTTTGTAATCAAAAAAAGCAATCCATTTTGAAAGGCCCTAAATACTAATTTTAAAGGAAAATGTGAGGAAATTTAAGTCAATTATAAATCAGATCATAAGAAATAAGGAAAAACACTTTCACTGCACAAAGTGACAAGTTTTTCCATTAGAATTTTCTATTGCTAAAAATTAAGCAAAACTTTTTGCTAAATATAATCAAGGACACATCCCTCCTCAGTTTCTTTTCTATACAGCAAAGGGAATGGATTAGTTTCAAAGACCTTTTCCAATGCTTCTGATTTGTAAATAGGTGTCTATATGTGTCTAGCCATATATAATAATATCAACATCAATAACAGCAAATATTTACTGAGCACTTATTTTATGCCAGAACTGTGTTAAAGCAATTTATAATTATTTATTATCTTACTTCATTCCCTCAACTCTAAGAGACAATTACTGCCATCTTCATTTCATAGTAAAAGAAACAGAGTCTTAAGAATAACTTACCCAAAGTCACACAACTAATAAGTAGAAGAACCAAGGTTTGAATCTTGTTCTGACTCCAAAGCCAAAATGCTTCATGATCTCACAATTAAAAATTAAAATATGGCTAAATTCTAAAGTCTACTACCCATTTCCAACAACTTTTCTCCTTTATTCCTCTGGGAGAAAAGTAGATACATATGCCAGGTTAATTTTTATCTAAGTGCTCTGCTTTTGAAACAATAAAAGATATATCACACTTCTATTAATTTTTATATCAAAGAAGTTACTTTTTTTAGTGCTATTGAATATTTAAATAACACATACTTACATAGTCACAATGTCAAATTTTCACCAGGATTAAGCCACAAAAAGAAACAGAAGAAAACTATAAATAAGAAGCGGATATTGAGATGAGAGACTCAAAGAAAGAATAAGACAATTTGAAAGATGAAATTATATTAAAAATATACACAGTAAAGTAATACCAAAAGAGAAAAACTTCTGTAAATAAATTAAAACAATTCAAATGTCTCACCTATATGTTATTAGCGGGTGAAGAGGAATAAATTCTGCTGGCCCAAATTCTATAGAGCAACCAAATGTAATTAACGTTAGCAATTCACCTTGGCAGGTCAATAAAACCAGGGAGCCACGTTTTAACACACAAGCCAGAAAAAGACTATCATGAGTCCAGCTGATATCACCTACCCAGTAGGACCTAGAAAAAGCAAGACAATATGTTTAGAAAGGACTCTCTACAATGTCTTTGACAATTTATAATGGCCAAGAAGGGGTGAGATGCTTCAAAAAATAAGGTCAAAAGAATGAATAGCAGGCAAATGTCACATACATTTCATGTATTTTACTTCCCAGAAAAAAAGGTAAGAAAAAAGGAGTTTGCTCATAAACATCTACTCCATACAACATACAAATTAGAAATTTACTTAGATTCATAAGCAAATTCATAAGATGAAAATAAGACCTAACAAAGTAAAGTTTTTGTCACTTACCTTATAATTAGAACAACTTCTAATCCTGGTGGTGTCCCAAACTAAGATCTACTGGCAGATTTGAAGGTCAATACCACACCTGTCTTCTCTGCAGCCTGCCAGAGCTCCACTCAGTAGCAGACTCCCTCTTCCCAAAGCCATCTTTACTACTCCTTAACTATCTGATAATATTAATGTTTCTTTCATGGAGACAAAAAGTAGCTCCTCCTCATGTGAATGATGGACACCCTAAGTCAAACAGACCACTGAACTGAGACTAGTAATACTTCTAGAAAGGAAATTTTGGGGAGAGAAAGAAAATAAAAAGGCAAGGCTGGATGAACCTGAAAACTTTGGAAATTCAGAGAGCAGCAGAGAAAACAATTCAGAATAGGAATTTAGGAGGATCCAAGAGGAAATTTTCCTACTCTATAATCCTTCATAGGTCCACGTACCATCCAAAATCACCACTTATGGTACTGTCCACCCATATGCAGAGAATGCTAACTTTGTTTAAAAAGCTAGAAACACCTCAGCCTGAGTATATAATGGTCTTCCCAACCCAGGTTTTTTCATTTCAGCCTCTCTAACTTAGCCCAGTATTTCTCTACCCAGTCACAATTCCACTCCTCCCAAGATAACATAGAAAGAAATAAAAGAGAAAAGAAAATGTGTTCATGTATCTTCCACCCTTCCTTAAAGTATTTAAGCCTTTCCTTATACAAAGCAATTTTTAGAATCTATCAAGCACAAATGCTGAAAGTTGCATCATCTATCTAAACATCTATTTAGACACCTACTGAATTATCAGTGCCTTAAAATTATTAAACTATTAAAAAAGAAAATAAAAACACTACTTAGTAATACAAAAGAACCCTTACCTGATAAGTGTAGCTGGAACCACAGGATTCTTATTACTACATCCTTTAAGGCTACCACAGAGTGTAACAAAATTCAGTGTGTTTATAAATAATACCTGAGTTGCCTGGAAAGAATAAAAAAAAGATTAAAAAAACCATTAAAATTATTTTACTTATAATTCTGAAGACCTAGAGATCTATTATATCAATGAACTACCTAGTCTTTGCCAACTGGCAAGATAATACTGACCACCTATAACTTTTCTTTTATACTACATTTTAAGAATATCAGTTACCACTTTGCCCTTCTTTCTTCCTTTTCCATTATCCTCTTTTCACCTCTGAAGGCCAAATTCTGAAAATTACAGCAGCTAATGTAGATAACTTTACCAATTTACAATGTTGAGGTGCATCAGAAAACACCAATTTAAAGAATATAAAGTAATATTAAGGAAAAAAACTATACTCGGGGGGAAAAAATCTCAAAACTGAACTAACTCTCTCTTTTACAGGTTACGTCCAAGACAGATTACATTTACTGACCTTTGGGTCTTTCTGATTAAGAGTTACTGCCAGGGTAATGCCATCTCTTGAAAATGCAGAAATTAGAGCTCCTCTTGACTTTACTGATTCACATTTAGGAATCAGACTGCACAGAAGGCAATCTTGTTGTGCCCACTGAACATGGTATGTCAATGATCTAAGTAGTGAAATAATTGAAATCAGAAAGTATAGTAACTTTTAAATTAATATATACTTCATTACAAAAAATTAAAGGGTCCAACTAAATTCGTACATGTGCACATATATTTGGGGTCTTGTAGCAACTGTTCACAAGTTTCATCCAGGACACAAAAGAGCAATTGCTAGTTAAACAAGGTCCATATCAGAGTTTTGTTAATAATGGCATGTTCTGTAGCCAGCCCCAGACACATCTGCATCCACTAAAAGTTTAGATACACATATTTCTACATTATTACAAACATTTTTACAGGTATTAAATAGGTGAGAAGAGGGGATTTTTAGGATAGTGGCAATGTTCTATATTTGATCTGAGGATGGTTACAGGCATAGGTACATTTATCGAAGTCCACCTAGTTGTACATTTAAGATTTGTTCATTTTACTTTATATAAATTACACCCAAATAAAGTACTGCTAGCATAAAAAATAAAGAAAATAAACAGAAAAAAACAAAAAACCTCACTATTTTACTAAATCTTAGTCATTATATGCTTTTAACGCACTTTCTATTTCATTGGGCTTTTTAAAATAAATAAAATTACTTTTAATTGAAAAAATACTTGAGCATTTAAAAGGTACAGTAGTAAATTCAAGTTATTTCCTTTTCAAAATTCAATTGATTTGGAACTTCCCTGGTGGCACAGTGGTTAAGAATCCGCCTGCCAATGCAGGGGACACGGGTTCGAGCCCTGGTCAGGGAAGATCCCACGTGCCGCGGAGCAATGAAGCCTGTGCGCCACAACTACTGAGCCTGCACTCTAGAGCCTGTGAGTCACAACCACTGAGCCCACGAGCCACAACTACTGAAGTCCGCACACCTAGAGCCCATGCTCCGCAACAAGAGAAGCGACTGCAATGAGAAACTTGTGCACCACAATGAAGAGTAGCCCCCGCTCGCTGCAACTAGAGAAAGCCCGTGTGCAGCAACAAAGACCCAACGCAGCCAAAAATAAATAAATAAATTTATTTTAAAAAATTCAATTGAATTACTTTTCAAAGGAGTTATTTTTATAGTCTTAAGACAAGTAAGACCATAGTCTGTCTGCCTTACCTTTTATGTGTTCTTGATTCCAAGAAGGGAAACAAAATAAAAACAAGAAAAACTTTCTATAATAGACATTCAAGATGAAAAGTAAAGAAACAGAACAAAACTTACAGGAAGAATTTGTAAAGCCTCAGAAGTTGATATTCACATTTCACTTACTAATCCTGTTACGTATTTATGGGCCAAAAGATAACAATGTTTTAAAAGGGATAGAGGGACCTCCCTGGCGGTCCGGTGGTTAAGACTCCATGCTTCCAATGCAAGGGGCACAGGTTCAATCCCTGATAGGGGAACTAAGATCCCACATGCTGCATGGAGCGGCCAAAAAAAAAAAAAAGCAGAGAGAAAACTAGGAAGAAGGAAACATTTACCTCACCTTATAGATGTAAATACATTTTCATGCCACCGAATTGCTAGAAATGTTAACTTCAGGCATTCCCCGGAATAGAAAGTAAATGAGCACAAGCAGCAGTCTCCAAATAACTGTAGATAAATTTAATATACTTTAGTATATAATTAATCTGAAAATAAATCAAGAGGACCTAGAGATTGTCATACTGAGTGAAGTCAGACAAAGAAAGAGAAATATCGTATGACATAGCTTATATGTGGAATCAAAGAAAATGATACAAATGAACTTATTTACAAAACAGAAACAGACTCACAGACTTAGAGAACGAATTTACAGTTACCAGGGGGTATGCGTGGGGAGGAGGAATAGTTAGGACGTTTGGGATTCACATGTACACACTGGTATGTTTAAAATAAGTAACCAACAAGGAAAAAAAATAAACTAATTAAACTATAAAATAAACTAATCCCTGAAAGAACAGCAAAAAAAAAACAAACAACCAAACAAAAAACCCCCACATATTTCTCATCATAAATAAAATAAATGAAACATATCAAGAGCCTGCTTATATTTATTCTTAACATGTAGCTGAACATTAAGCTAAAGACTAAGTAATTAATTTCTGAGCCACAGGCATATCTCAAATGGGAAATCAAGGTGCAGTTTACTCTCTTAAGAAAACACTGCCTTTACTCTGGCTATAACTGGAAATATTCCAATATATTTATTTTTCTCTTCTTTTACAGTTACATATTATTTATTTATTTTATTTATTTGGCTGTGTTGGGCCTTAGTTGTGGCATGTGGACCTTCGTTGCAGCGTGCGGGCTTTTCTCTAGTTGTGGCTCATGAACTCTAGAGAGCACAGGCTCAGTAATTGTGGCTCTCGGACTTAGCTGCCCTGCAGCATGTGGGACCAGGGATCGAACCCACGTCCCCTGCATTGGAAGGCGGATTCTTAGCCACTGGACCACCAGGGAAGTCCCTATAGTTACATATTATTTAAGTTAGGGCACTACCCATGGGGGTGGAGGAAAACAACAAAAGTTCAAAATGCAATTTGTAACAATAGCAGATTGGGTAATAAAATGTTGGTCCATACATACAAAGAGTACCATGCAGCTATTCTGAATGCTTTTAGTTAATGAACGTGTTATTTCCTGGGAATTAAATGGCTTACTTAATATCACTAATTCTAGCATTTTTTAAAATCCTTCCAACAAATATTTATTTATTTATTTATTTATTATTGGAGTATAGTTTCTTTACACTGCTGTGTCAGTTTCTGCTGTAGGGCAAAGTGAAACAGCCATATGTATACATATATTCCCTCTTTTTTGGATTTCCTTCCCATTTAGGTCATGACAGAGCACCAAGTAGAGTTCCCTGTGCTATACAATAGGTTCTCATTAGTTATCATTTTATATTTAGAAGTGTATATATGTCAATCCCAATCTCCCAATTCATCCCACCACTCCCTTCCCCCTTGGTATCCATCCATACGTTTGTTCTCTACATCTGTGTCTCTATTTCTGCTTTGTAAATAAGATCGTCTATAACATTTTTCTAGATTCCACATATATGCGTTAATATACGATATTTGTTTTTCTCTTTATTACAAAACTTGTTATATTCTAAAACTAGGGAAAAGTATAACTAGGAAGCTCTAAGTTCAAACCATTTTTAATAAACATCTTTTAAAATGTGACCAAGAAATATAAAAATACCTTTTCCGTGATAATTTCACCATTACTGTGACAATTAATGCCTGGAGATATATAGCTATGCCATTACACACTCTGCTCAACAGCTTCCCAGATGGTGTCTGTTCTTAGAGTCTGAGATCTCCACCACTTCTATAATACCCTGCCTGATTTGGATTTTACCTCATTTTTTATAAAAACCGCATGCACTACAGCTTCTTTATCTTCAGTGGAAGGCAAATGAACTGCTTCTTCAGGTATGATCTGGGACCACTGGCCCACCAATGAAGGGCTTTTGGAAGATAAGATATTCTTGAATTCCAAATGTTCCCAAAGAAATATGCATCCAGAAGGAGTTATAAGCAGAACTCTTTTCCCATTGCCAGATACATACAAGTACAGTCTCAAAGAGCTTGCTAGAAAACAACAGAAAAAAGGAATTACACCTCTGAAGTCTGAATTCCCACAAAAAAGTACAAATTTTATCTATTCTGACAATAAGGAACCTAAATGATGTTTCCATTCAGAATGTAAAACTTAGGCACTAGTAATAAACTAAAAGTACAAATTATAATAACATTTATCATGTACTCATATGTGATATTAGGAACCCACTGTTATCACAGATATGTAAGGCATGCCAGATTTTTCTTCTTCAAGATGAACCTAATTGTCACAAATAAACACCACCAAAAAAATACTTAGATATAAGGAAAAATACATATATATACAGATATATATATTTACACAAAGATATATTTCTTTTCTCCTATATATCAAGTTAAACCAATTTAAACAAATAAAAATCTCCCACCTACTGCAGCTTTAATCATTTCTTTAGGTTTTTCAGTTGCTTGTATAGTTTTCAAACAATCTTGATCTTTGTTCCAGAGGAAAAGCTCCCCAGTATCAAGTACCCCAGCCAGCCAGGCATCTGCTTCCAAAAAGGAAATGCAATACTTATAATCTAACATTTCCCTTAATATTACTCCCAAAATTATTTTTAAAAATACAGTTAATCTAGCCTTTTGAAAATATCAGTACTACTTAACCATTACTGGATGTTGTTAGGACTGTAACATCCTTCAACAAAGGCTGGAGACTGGGAATTTTCTTCTTTGTCCTTCCTGATAGCAAATTAATTTCATTTATGAATTTATCATCCAAAAGAAAAACAGCTTCATTTTCCTAAGAGAAGAAACACGTGAGAGACTTAAGAGATGCCAGAAGTTAATTCAGCCTCTTACCTAAGTAAGTTATCCCAGAAAAGAAAACAAAGTGACATTTAAGAAAGATTGTATATTTGTACTACACAGCATAAAATGAACAATAAGGTTGATTATGTAACCTGAAGATTTTTCATTCTATCTTAAAGTACCTCTTACTAGAATTACTAGGTAGGATAACCTAACAGTTGCACTGAGATTTCTTTGGAGTTTAAAATTATAGGAGTGTCTTCCAATTCTGCTAGCCCAAACTGAATTACCTGCTGTTATCTCATCAATCTGAACAGTAGTATGGGTAAGTTTTAAATTATTTACTTAGATTAAAATAGACATGGCTTCTCATTTCTGAAGCAGTGTCATGCTGCTCCTAGACTTTAGTTTTAGAAAACATCGAGAAAATGATCTGAGCTTACTGGAAACCTTCCAGTTGGACACCACGCTGCTTCATCACCTGTGTGGGCATTCCAAGATTCACCAGGACACGAAACTCACCAAACATGTGCCTTTGCTCAAAAAGACCCTGTAGCTGTTAGTTTGCAGAGTGAAAGCCATGCTCATCCTTAACAATTGCAGAGAGGTCTTCTGGCTGTGCAATCTCAAAAACTGGGACTTGCAGGGTGAAGAAATTATATTCCAGCATTCCCACGAGAGCACAGCAGATGAGAGTGAGGATGATACATCATCCCAAGTCTCCAAGAGCAAAGCAACAGAGGACTGTGAAGAAGATTAAGCAAGTTTATGGAGAAAAGGAGCAAGAGAGTGATGAGAGTGGTGGCAACTCTGATCAGACCACAGAAAGACTGATGCTGCCTCCCCATCTCTGCCAGCCTGTTACCACACAAATACACAAAACCCTGCTCAGTAGGCAGGTGATCCTTCTACAGATGATACTGTATTTTGTGAAGGCCATAGAACATTCTTTGATCTTAGAGGCAAAGCACACAGTTAACACATATTAGAACTGATAATGTATGATTAAAGAAAAACCTACCTGTCCCAACCAGGAAACTCGTGGCCAGGATTTTTTCTGCTTGATACTCGTTGAAGTCAAAACTTCTAATCTTATCTCCATGCTTGCTGAGATATCAATGACCAATTAAGTCAAAAGTCACAAGATGCTGTAAAAATCAAAACAAACAAAAAAATGATGATAGCCCATAATACTTACTGAGGATCTTAATTTAGAATTTTCATAAAGTTTTAGTAGATTACTTTTTCATCAGCTCAAGTTAACTCTTTTTAACGTAAGATGCTGACAATTTATTCAGTATCTCATCTTGAATAGTCAGACAAAATGTATTTGCTTTTCGACAAGTTATTTCTCAGACTATGAAGATAAACATGAACTAGGAGAACATCTTGACAATATAGTTTCTATGTGATTTGATTTTCTCAGTGTGGCAGGTTGTATTTTCCAAAGATGGCCACAAAAATACCTCCCATCACATATGCTCTTCTTACACTATGACTTTAATACTCCTCTCATTGAGAGCTCTGGTCTATGCCTCATCCCTTGAATTTGGGTGGTTTTTGACCACTTTGACCAAGAGTAAAATGGAAGTGATGCTAGGCACTTCCCAAGGCTAGCTCATATAAGGCAATACAACTTTTACCTTACTCTATGGAATAATCACTCTTGAAGCCTTCAGTCACCACATAAACAGTCAAACTGCCCTAAGTCACAGAGCTGGAAGAAAGTCCAAACTAGTTGACGTAAAAATGAAGCCCTGAGATAATATGAAATAAAGATGCCCAGCCACATCCCCATGCTGGTTGTGGGGACAGTTGTGGTAGAGGCCATGAACAGTTTGTCAGAGCCCTATTTGGGTGAGGGAAGCATAATCTTGGGTGAACGGTCCATTCCTGAGTGAATCTTGGGAGGACGTTCACGCAGTGAAAGAGCCTGGCACAGTGTATTGGAGCCAGGCACAGTGAGGACACAGAAACCATAATGAAAGGGATCCCATAGACCAAACTGAGGACAATTTGAGCATCAAAACAATTATATTAATGGATTTAAAATCCATGGAATAGGGACTTCCCTGGTGGTCCAGCGGGTAAGACTCCACGCTCCATGGAGGGGGCCCAGTTTCAGTTCCTGGTCAGGGAACTAGATCCCGCATGCATGACACAACTTACGAGTTCGCATGCCACAACTAAAGATCCCGCGTGCCGCAACTAAGACCTGGCGCAGCCAAAATAATAAATAAATAAATATTTAAAATATTTAAAAATAATAAATAGGGGGCTTCCCTGGTGGCGCAGTGGTTGAGAGTCCACCTGCCGATGCAGGGGACACGAGCTCGTGCCACGGTCCGGGAAGATCCCACATGCCGCGGAGCGGCTGGGCCCGTGAGCCATGGCCGCTGAGCCTGCGCGTCCGGAGCCTGTCCTCCAAAACGGGAGAGGCCACAACAGTGAGAGGCCCGCGTACCGCAAAACAAACAAACAAAAACAAAAAACAAAAAAAAGCACATTGGCGGAAGCAGTTTAAAGAGAATCCAACTGACATGTACACACTGCTATATTTAAAATGGATAACCAACAAGGACCTACTGTATAGCTCAGGGAACTCTGCTCAATAAAAAAAAAAAAGAGAGAGAAATCCAAGTTCTGTGGTTTCCACCACAGACGAGTCTAAAAAATCGCGTCCATTCCTCCGTGCTCAATTTATCACCCACTAAGGTCAAACACAGGAGCCTCCCCACTTCGCACAAGTCATCCCCAGGGGACCCCTCTGAGATTCCCTACCCGACCCTGGGGGCAGCGCCGCCCTCTGCCCCGAGAGGTGCCACCGTGGTGCCCACCCGGGACAGGGCGGGAGCTGCAGGACGCCGGTGCGGGGCCGAGGTCTGGCCCGAACCGGACGTCGTTCCCAGCCATCTGGAGGGCGACCCGGGCCCCTCGGAGCGGCCGAGCCTCCGTCAGGCTGAGGGTGCGGTGGCCGGAGGACGACCCCGGGGAAGCTGGGGGACCGGGCAGAGGGAAAGGACAAGGGGGCTGGGTGCGGCGGGGGATGGCGGGGCTGGGGAGGTCGTGAGCGCGCAACACTAGAGGGGGGTGAGGGGGACGAAGGAGCCCGAGGACCCCGCGGGCCGGACAGCGTGGGGAAGAGGCTGGGGCCGTGAGGGGCAGGAATCTGCGGGCAGTTACCTCCGCCAGGGTCCGGCCCGTCCAGGGAGGGGGAAGCGCGGGGAGGCAGAAGGCGAAGCCGGCAGCGCGGGCCAGAGACTAGAGGGTGACTGCCGAGGGCCCAGCAGCCGGCGCAGACGCGAGCCTGCGCCCTGGCGACGGCGGAGGTGGGGGAGGGGACGCGAGCGAACGGCGCCAGTGCGCCTGCCCCGAGTTGGCCGGGAGCGCGGGCGGGAAGCTGGATGTGCTCCTCCCTCCTCTTATCCTCCAGGTCTCCTCGGGTTGCCCCCACGCGCCTTCCTCTCAGCGGTCCCGCGTCCCCTCCGCTCGGCCGCTCCTCCTCCCGTTCCCGGTTTCCTCCTAAGCTTCCGTGGGTCCTTCTGTGTTCACCGCCCCCGTGCGTTCCTCAGACACTCGCCTTTGAGTGCCCAGGCGATGCGCGGCGCTCTACAGGAAACCGTTTAGTAACCCACTAAGATGTAAATCACGGGATGTCAGCACCCTAGTGGAGACCTCTAGAGACCTGAGAACGAACGGGTTGTACACTGCCCTCCACGGATCAAGTGGGCAACTTAAAGTGCTAAGGAAAGCGTTTCTGTACTCACACGCCTAGTGACTTCTGTTTACTTACAGCACTGTTTTCGCTCCTCTCCCGCTCCTGCGCACGGTCTGGAAACAGGGGGCAAGAACATGCAGCTCGAGATTTATATTTGGTCTGGAAAAGCATTTTTCTGTAGCTTAAATTTGTATGCCTTAGGCAAGGGCAAGCTTTCCGTTCCCTAGCCGCCCTCCTCTTCACTCACTGACGTCACTGACCTGGTGTTTGAAAGCATTTTGGCTTGTTACCTTTGACTAGGCTAGGTATGTTCTGCTGAGTAAATAGCTCAGCCCTCTCAAATGGAAAGATATCGTTATCAGATTGGTTTATCCTGGCGAGCAAAGGGTACTGGGCAGGAGGACTTCCCACAGCATAGTAAATCACAACTCTCCCTGTGTCCCGGTGTGGGATAAGTGGCAGCTGGGATAATTACCACTTAGCACCATTTACGTCAAAGGTTATAGAACTGAAGTGGTCCAAGGCTACTCAAATCACAAACATCTTAGATAAATCTTGCTGGAGTTAGCCCAAGAAGTCTGAAGCAGAACAAAGACAACCTAACTTATTCCCACAATTTTGTGTTCCCATTTCTAGGTCTTCAGATGTGATAACAATAGGATAACTGTGGCTGAGTTTGCTGTGTGGCCATCAGACCTAGAGGTATTGGTGCAATTCTGGAGTTGACTGTTGTGCACATTTATTCTTTAAAATTTCATGGGAATACCTACAATTGGCTAAAATAGAAATTATTGGATGCCTATTATGTGTCATGTGTCAAACATGATGCTAGGTGTAAAGAGAGGAAAATGATGCTGTTCCTATTCAAAAGAGATTCATAGACACTTAAATTACAGTGCAGTGATAAATTTCATGATAGCAGTATGCACAGAACACATTTTTTTCTCTCTGGGAGATGGGCAGGTCAGAAGTATCTAAGCTAGGTTTTCAACAAGGAATAGTTCAATTTGAAGCACATTCATTTTGTGGTGCCTGTGGACTTGCAGGTGAGCAATTAAGAGTCATGGTTCAGAAGCCCCATGGGAGAACTGTAGATGTGGAACATGTAACCCTAACCATCTGTCTCTCCATCAGCCTGCCCTGCACTTTTTTAAAGGTCACCTCTCTTTAATATATATTGATGAATAAGGGTTTAATGGAGAAGACCACTTCTTATGAGAGCATCAGAGGGGTGAAGAGAACCAAAAAAGTGGTGTCAGGAAAGCATGAAAGCCTAGGAGGGAAGAGTCTAGGAAGGAGTGGTCAACCATGTGAAAGTCTGAGTAAAGTGAAATAGAAATAAGCTTGAAAATTCCCCCATCAGATTTGGTGTTTCATAGTTATAGTGCATGATATATAATAACCTAGGTCCTTTAGGTAGCAGATAGTTAGCAGAGAGTTAGCAGATAGTTAGCAAATCTAACTAGCTTGAGCAAGAGAAGAAATTTATTGTAGGGATTGTGGAGTATCCCACAGAATCTAAGGAATGATTTCAATAACCAGTTCTTAGGAAGTGTACTGCAACCAGGACAGACCATAGACTTTCTCTCTAAAGCAATGCTATCCAGTAGAAATTTCTGTGATGATGAAAATGTTCTATGTCTGCTTTGTCCAATATGGTAACCATTAACAACGAATGCTATTGAGCACATAAAATGTAGCTAGTGCAACTGAGGCCCCGAATTTTTTATTTTAATTAAATTCAAATAGCCACATGTGGCTAGTGGCTCCTGTATTGTACAGTGCAGCTTTAAAGCCTTTCCATTAACATGACTCAGCTCCAGTTTTTCTCAGCCTGTGTCTCAGTTCAGAATTGCAAATCTCTTGGAGGGAAAAATGCAAGTGGTGCAGTTTGGGTAAGAGATCTACTCCTGGAGCAGTCAGCTATGTCTAGGATCACATAGTGCAGAAATGGCTGCTGAGGTCTTGTCTGTGTGTATCTGAGGCCATTCTCCCCCAACAGGGGGAATCATTATAAGCTGAGGTCTATTATAAGATGGAGTTGTGAGTTATTTAGGGTAAGAGTAGGCTGCCATATCAAAAAGCCTCTACCATAAATTAGTGGCCTAGGGAACATAGGCAATTATTTCTTTCTTGTGTAACTGTTACAAGGTGAGTGATTCAGTTTGTTAGGGTAGCTCTGCTCCACACAATTATTCAGAGATCTGGGTTCCTTCGAGATACTCACTCTGTAATTCTCCAGTATCTTGTTGCATAATCAAGACTGGGTTCCAGTGGATTCCAGCCAAAGGAAAGGAGAAAAAGAGAGAGCATACCCACAGTTTTGAGACCTGGGCCCAGAAGTGGTATACAGTATTTCTGGTTATGTTGTATTGGAGAGAACT